GCTCAGTGGTTTAACCCACAGCGCCACCCGCGTCCCTCTTGAAGCACATGTAGAGCACCAAATAATCCCGAGAACTACCCCTCATCTAAATATTTTTCTATGCGGTTTTTGACAAAGAGAGGTGTGGTGTGGTGGTTAGAGGGTTGGACCTGGGTTCAGATCGCCACTAAGTCATGAATGTGCCCATGGGCCAGATCCTGCCTCTCTACCTAACCTACCTCACAGAGTGGTTGTAGGGATTAAATTAGGAGTGGGGGAAGCATGCATGCCACCTTGAGCTCCGGGAAGGTAGCAAGAAATGGAATATGGAGGCAATAAATAAATAAAATAACCCTTGCAAAGCGGCTTAATGGTTATTGCTTGTTCATTTCGCTGAAACACACATCCTTTACCTCATTTGACCTTTGCATATCCATTTTTGCAGTGCTTTTTTCCCCCTAGAGGGACGCAGGAGTAAACATACCCCTAAACATTTTGTGAATCCTTGGACTTTGGTCCATTTACTGAATTTATTTTTCCCAGTTTGAATGATAAAATGGTGGTTTTTCTTGAATCCAAAGGAGAGTACCCCTAAACACTTTTTTTAAGGGGAAAAAAGCACTGCATCTTTGCACCCATTACTTGGCTGCATTGCAAAATTAAGAAAAGGGCGTGTTCTGCAGTGTGGGCAGTTCGCAGATTGCTTCAGAAAGTACAAATTACACAGGCTTTGCCTTTAAATGCAGGCTGGATCAAAATTTATCATGCACAGCTATTTGCTTCCGTCAAGAACTAGAAGTGGTTTAAGGACAGTAAACCCTGGATCTCAGCAATAATGGGGGTAGACAATCTAGGGTGCCAGAGGGCTGGGCCCTATACTATACTGGATCCCTATACTGGATCCCTATACCTGCAAGGGATCTGGACCGACTTTTTGTTCCAGGAAGGATGCGGTTTAAATTGCTAGGTGGCGGTTTGGGCACCAGGTGACGCTGCAGCCCCAGGAATGAATGAGCTTGCGGAAACTGTGGGTCTCACCCATTGGTCTGGGTCTGGAAGGTGTGTTTGGAGGCATGGGGAGGGCAAATCTCCTGGGTTTCAGGCAGGGAGCATCGCAGCCCTATATCGGGAGATGCTGAACCTGGGAACTTCTGCATGGGAAACGGGTACTGAAATGAGGCTGCATTTTAATGTTGTATTTTAATCTTGTTTTTAAGTTGCATTTTAATCAATTGTTTTTATATCTGGTGTTAGCCGCCCTGAGCCTGGTCTTGGCTGGGGAGGGCAGGGTATAAATAAAATTTATTATTGTTGTTGTTGTTTAGTCGTTTAGTCGTGTCTGGCTCTTCGTGACCCCCTGGACCAGAGCACGCCAGGCCCTCCTGTCTTCCACTGCCTCCTGCAGTTTGGTCAAACTCATGTTCATAGCTTCAAGAACACTGTCCCACCATCTCGTCCTCTGTCATCCCCTTCTCCTTGTGCCCTCCATCTTTCCCAACATCAGGGTCTTTTCCAGGGAGTTTTCTCTTCTCATGAGGTGGCCAAAGTCTTGGAGCCTCAGCTTCAGGATCTATCCTTTCAGTGAGCACTCAGGGCTGATTTCCTTCAGAATGGAGAGGTTTGATCTTCTTGCAGTCCATGGGACTCTCAAGAGTCTCCTCCAGCACCAGAATTCAAAAGCATCCATTCTTCGGCGATCAGCCTTCTTGATGGTCCAGCTCTCACTTCCATACATCGCTACTGGGGGAACCATAGCTTTAACTTGTCCAGCTCTCACTTCCATACATCATTTATTATTATTATTATTATTATTATTATTATTATTATTACTCAACCAGGGCAGGAAAGTTGTGCGTCTCGTAATTGTTTCAAAACTGCCGGTTCTTCACACGCAAACACATTGTCGCCTCTACTTGGTGGTGCTGTGGAATTCATTGATCATTCTCTCCCATTCATAAGTATATCGAAACCCCAAACCTCAGCCTGAATCCAAATCAAAGTTTCCACTAAGCTGCATTCATTAACTGAGCCAAGATGAGGGAGATTTTTGAACACCGGGTGCTCTCTGCTTAACTTAAGCTCTGTCGTGATCTGGGCCTATTTGTTTTCCATAGTTAGGTTGTTTCATAAGGGGGGCTAGAGGGCTGGTCAAACAACCACCCCATGCCCTATATTTGGCCACTTGGAGCTGGCTGGCTCATTAAAGGGTATGGAAGTGGCTCAGCAGTGGAAGGAGTGTTAAAGTCCACCTGAAATAGGATGGCAGGACATGGTTTGAGAGGGGCTTCTCGGTGGTGGCTCCCAAGCTTTGCAGCTCCCTCCTTAGAGAAGCAAGACTGGCTCCTTCCTTGTTTTTCCAGCAGCAGATGCAGTGCTTTTTGACTTTTTAAAAAAATGGTTTAGGCGTACTCTCATTTTGACTCAAGAAATCATAATTTTTAAGTTCAAATCAGGAAAAATAAATACAGTAAATGCACCAAAAGATTCACAAAATGTTTAGGGGTATGCGTACCCCCAGAACAAAAGCATTGAGCAGGTGAATATTGTTTTATTTCAATAGGCCTTTGGTGACTGGCCTTTCTGAAGGAAAAGGCTTTTAATGTTTCTGTGCTGTTTTTATTATCTGTATTTAATAGATTTGTTGTTATAGAATCATGGAATTGCAGAGTTGGGAGGGACTTTGAGGGTCCTCTATTTCAGCCCCATGCAATGCAGGAATCTCAGCTGAAGCGTCCTTGAGAGATGGCCATTGAACTTATAAACCTGCAAGGAAAGAGAACCCACAACCTCCTGAGGGAGACTGTTCCACTGTTGAACAGCTCTCACTGCCAGAAAGTTCTTCCTGAAGTTTAGTTGGAATCTCCTTTCTTGTAGCTTGAAGCCACGGGTTCGAGTCCTACCCTCCAGAGTAGGAGAAAACAAGCTTGCTCCCTCTTCCATGCCATAGTCCTTTAGGTATTTGAAGACGGCTATGATATCTATTAGGGACACGGGTGGCGCTGTGGGTTAAACCACAGAGCCTAGGGCTTGCCAATCAGAAGGTTGGAAATTTGAATCCCCGCGAGGGGGTGAGCTCCCGTTGCTCGGTCCCTGCTCCTGCCAACCTAGCAGTTCAAAAGCACCCCAAAAAGTGCAAGTAGATAAATAGGTACCACTCTGGTGGGAAGGTAAACGGCGTTTCCATTCGCTGCTCTAGTTTGCCAGAAGCGGCTTAGTCATGCTGGACACATGACCCGGAAGCTGTACACCGCCTCCCTCGGCCAGTAAAGCGAGATGAGTGCCACAACCCCAGAGTCAGCCCCGACTGGACCAAATGGTCAGGGGTCCCTTTACCTTTACAATGTCTATTCTCTATGTCAGGAGTGCTCTGATGGTGTTTCCTGCTTGGCAGGGGGTTGGACTCGATGGCCCTTGTGGTCTATTCCAACTCTATGATTCTATGACTCAGCTGCAAATAAACTATTTTAAGTATGTTGTAAATTGCATCATACAATTGTGACTCTACCTGGCAACAGTGAGCTATAGCAAATTCAATCTATGTTTCAAAACAATTTTTTTTTAATAAAAGCATTTTCACAACTTTTTTTATGTGTCTAAATTCCATCTCAGAGGAATGTGGGTGGCGCTATGGGTTAAATAACCACAGAGCCTAGGGCTTGCCGATCAGAAGGTGGACGGTTCGAATCCCCACGACGGGGTGAGCTCCCGTTGCTCGGTCCCTGCTCCTGCCAACCTAGCTGTTTGAAAGCAGGTCAAAGTACAAGTAGATAAATAGGTACCGCTCCAGCGGGAAGGTAAACGGCATTTCCGTGCGCTGCTCTGGTTCACCAGAAGCGGCTTAGTCCTGCTGGCCACATGACCCGGAAGCTGTACGCCAGCTCCCTCGGCCAATAAAGCGAGATGAGCGCCACAACCCCAGAGTCGGCCACGACTGGACCTAGTGGTCCCTTTACCTTTACCTAAATTCCACCTCAGTCTCCTGTTTCCCAGGCTAAACATACCCAACACACTTAGGCAGGAAGAACCAGATGCACAAATATAAGGTAGGAGACACCTGGCTTGCCAGTAGTACATGTGAAAAGGATCTAGGGGTCTTGGTGGACCCACAAGCTTAACATGAGTCCACAATGTGATGCAGCAGCAAAAAAAGCTAATACTATTCTAGGCTGCATCAACAGAAGTCTAGAGTCCAGATCAAGGGAAGTAATAGTCCCACTCTCTTCTGTCTTGGTCAGAGCACACCTGGAATCCTGTGTCCAGTTCTGGGCGCCACAATTTAAGAAGGATGTTGACAAGGTGAACATGTGCAGAGGAGGGCGACCAAGATGATCAAGGGTCTGGAAACTAGGCCTTATGAGGAATGTTATATTGTTTTAATTCTATTACAGTTTAATTACCTTTTAACTATTACCTTTTATATATTTTTAGCTTTCTGTATTTTAATTGTGTTGCTTTTATTTCTGTTAAGCCGCCTTGAGTCCTCCTGGCCTGGGGAAAAAGTGGAATATAAATAAATATTCTAATAATAAATGCTCTCTGAGCATTTAGCACAGTATAGATGTGAGGTGCAAGGGAAGATTAAATGTGGCCCATTTGATACCTCCCAGTTTCCCTTTTTTCAGTTACCGTATTTTTCTGTCTAGAAGACGCCCCCTATTTTGGGGGACTCAGATTTCAGAAAATGGGGAGAGATGTATCTGTGTACAGTGGTACCTCGGGTTAAGAGCTTAATTCGTTCTGGAGGTCTGTTCTTAACCTGAAACTGTTCTTAACCTGAAGCACCACTTTAGCTAATGGGGCCTCCTGCTGCTGCACGATTTCTGTTCTCATCCTGAAGCAAAGTTCTCAACCCGAGGTACTATTTCGGGGTTAGCGGAGTCTGTAACCTGAAGCGTCTGTAAACTGAGATACCACTGTATAAGACGCCACCTAATTTATACACGGAAAAATACGGTATGTAAATAAATCAGACGATCAGACCACCTGCTACCCATTAATGAAGGGGCGATGTATCAAGCATATGAGATTTAAAAAAATGTTTATTCATTTTCTGAAGCTCTGTTTTCAACAGTCTTGTCATGCAATGAGTTGAGTGCCAAAACCACCCTATGCAGTTCTCTCCCCCGCCCTTTAGATTGGTTTATTGTTGTACGAAATACATATTTAAAAAAATACTTTGGAGGCAAGCAGGGAAGAAAACCGCTGACCCGGGAGAGAGAGGGACTCCCATGACTCAGCAGGTGCATACAGACATTTTTAAAGGGTTGAAACCTGTGACGAAGAGATGCTCAAACACGCTCCCGTAAAGTTAGCTTAGCAGGAGGAAGGAGGGGAGAGAAATGGCTGCCCAGATCACCTAGATCCGCCTAGATCCAGATGTCCGAGGTGCAATCTCCCCCAGGGTAGCGCATCTCGTGAGCGCGAGCAGGACCGAAGGGCTCCTTCCCGAAATCCACCAGGAAGTCCGGGTTCACACAGAGGCCGCCGTTCTCGGTGTCCACGTCGATTTGCAGCATGACTGAGCCTTCCCTGCAAAAGCCAAAGGGAAAAGGGAGCTCAGAGGCAGATCCTTCGCTTGGCATGCAGATCCATTCCCCAGCATACAAATCTGTAGGCGCAGACCATCGCCCAACTCAAAATAGTGCGGCATGAAAATCCCCAAACTCGGTTCCATGGGTGACTCTGAGTCAACTCCCTGGGATAGTTTATTGTTGCGCATTGTTTCTAAATTTATTGTTGTACATTGTTTGAATTGTCTGTTTTAACCATATTTGCACATCGGTTTCTAATGTTGTGAGTGTCCTCTATTACAGAGGCTTCTACTCTGTAGCCTCTTATAGTTGTTTTAACTGCGAGTCTTTTAGTTCTTACGCTCTTACAGTTGTTTTAACTGGGTGTTTTTATTTGTTTTTAGTTCTTACCTGTTTTAATTATCAGTTTTTATCCATCCATTATCTTTGTTTAATCTTGTATTTTATTCAGATGTTTTATCCTATGCTTGTTTCTTTGTCCTTATTTGCTCTAACAATTATCGGTTAAAAAAAATAAAATCCTAACTGCTATTTTATTTATATGTGTTTTGATTTTTTTACCCTGGTCTGTGACCGTAATAAAGTTCATTCATTCCCCAGCATTTCGAGGTACAGCTGGGAAAGACTCTGTGCCGGGAAGCAGGAGGGATGCTGCCGGTCAGTGCCATAGCTGTCAACTTACAGATTTGAAAATAAGGGGCCAGCAGCCTCGAAAATAAGGGATCAGCAGCCAAAATAAGGGATTTTCCGGGCACAGGTATGTTTGACTTCTGAGCCCCTCCGAGCCAAAGGCAGAAAGCCCAGCCAGCAGCCAAACGAAGCCTCAAGCGGTGGTTCCCACAGCGCAGCAACCCGGCAAAGGGGATGCAGCAAGGAAAACCACCATCACCTCTCCGCTGGGAAGCGCTGAGCAAAGGCGAGTCCCCAGACAACGCAGCCGATTTGATTGGCACAAGGCATGCAAGCTCCACCCCCCAGTCGTTCTCAGACTCCTTATTGGGTGAGCAACGCAGCCAAGCAACACAGCTGGAGCCTCCCTCCTCCCTGGCCAGCAGGGAGGGAGGGAGAGGAGCTGCTTCCTTTGAAACCCGGGAAATTTAAGGGACATCATCAATAAGGGACAGCAGCAGGAAACGGCGCTGGGATAAGGGAGTTTCCCGCCAAATAAGGGACGGTTGACAGCTATGCTTAGTGCAGACAGGACCAGATGCACCTGGGGAGGGACTCAGTGCAAGGCATATCCCTGTGTTCCTGCTTAAATCAGACCATTCATCAGAACCATATATACACAATAAGCAAAGAAGTACGGGACACTATTTTAATATATGATCTCAGTGGAGAGGCTCTTGTGTGGACCAAGATGGAAAGACTTATTGTTGTCTAATATGGAGGAAGGGCCGTTGAAGTTATGGGAGATAAAGCTGATGGGTTTGATTAGAGCAGGGGTCAGCAAACTTTTTCAGGAGGGGGCCGGTCCACTGTCCCTCAGACATGGTGGGGGGCCAGTCCCACCCTCTCCCTGCGTGGACCCCCCCCCCTGCGTGGTCAGTACCTGTGTGGTGAGGCCTCCGTGCCGCACCAATTTAGCGCAGGGACTGACCGAGCAGGCGGCAGGGTCCGCGGACCAGATTAACAAGCCCAGTGGGCCGCATCTGGCCCACGAGCCTTAGTTTGCCAACCCCTGGATTAGAGGGAAACCATTGCCGGCATTTATTAAAGATAATGATCAGAGATCCCCTTTTGGACTCTTTGCGTGAAAGGGGAAATGAACTAATCCATCTGGGAAAACAGAACAGAAAGTAGATCAGTTGGGTGTCATTAGTGAATATTTTGAATCATTTCTTTTATGTAACTGACAGAGGGAAAATCAGAATCCCTTTTCTTTTTCTTTTCTCGTTTTCCTCTTTTTTTGGTTTTCCTTTGGTGTTTTCTCTTTCTCTCTTTGTTCTTATTTAGATTCTTTTATTGTATTGCATTATGAAAAAGCTTTAATAAAATCTTTAAAAAAGAAAATAACCATGAGGACTGGAATCTTGCTATTATATTTATGGAAGCTTTGCTTTGCCTGCAGAAGGTGCCAGGTTCAATCCTTGCATCTCCCTGGCAGGGAGGCTGTGACACTTACAGAATCACAGAATTGCAGCGTTGGATGGGACCCTGAGGGTCATCTAGTCCAACCCCCTGAACTGACCCAGAAACTCCAATGGGTGCAGAATGCCGCGGCAAGACTCCTTACGGGGTCCTCACTGCGAGATCACATTCACCCGGTGCTAAACCAGCTGCACTGGCTCCCGGTGGAGTACAGGATCAGGTTCAAGGTGCTGGTTTTAACCTTTAAAGCCCTATACGGCTTAGGACCCTCGTACCTACGGGACTGCCTCTCCTGGTGTGTCCCACAGAGGACCTTACGGTCTTCAAACAAAAACATCTTGGAGATCCTGGGCCACAGGGAGGTTAGGCTGGCCTCAACCAGAGCCAGGGCTTTTTCGGCTGTGGCCCCGATCTGGTGGAACGCTCTGTCCCAAGAGACTAGGGCCGTGCGGGGCTTGACATCTTTCCGCAGGGCCTGGAAGGCACAGTCTGACCCCCTCCTTTGGTAATCCTCACAGAACTCTAGCCCAGTGATTGCCATTAATTTGATTTTGAATTGATTTTAGAATGAATTGATTTTAGAATGCTGTGTTACTTTTATTGTTGTTAGCCGCCCTGAGCCTGGCTTCGGCTGGGGAGGGCGGGATATAAATAAAATTATTATTATTATTATTATTATTATTATTATTATTATTATTATTATTATAAACACATACCAGATTTCAGTACAGAGCTGTGGAAGAAGGGGCGGAATCAGCCAATTAGCCTCTTGATTTTCTTACCTGACCATCTGAGGGTAAAACTGCTTGTCCCAAGGTGTGTACAAAGAGGTCGTTGTGTACAGCCTCTTGCCGTCCAAGCTGAGCTGAATCATCTGAGGTCCGCCATAGACCCTCTTTCCCTAAAGGCAGAGAAAACGCGGGGTGAGGAAGGTTCAGCTTGGATTCCTGCCGCTCCCTCGCCGCCACCCTTGCAGCTCCAGGTTCACTCACCTGGATCATAAACGGGTCGGGCTGGCAGTCCAGCTCATCGTCTTCCAAGACGGTCACCACGCCGCCTTTGTAAATGTTCCCGCCAACAAACACCTGGGGGCGCAAAACAAGTCCCCCAAAACCCCAGAGAGAGAGAGAGAGAGATAATCAGCTGAGCTCATGAGGAAGAGCATCTTCCAAGGAGCTGTTTGGCTTGACAAGGTCATATCCATGCCCTCCACTTTTAAAACATGTGGCTTTCCCCGCAAAGAATTATGGGAACTGTAGTTTGAGGAGGGTGCTGGGAGTTCTAGCACCGCGGGGGGGGGGACTACAGTACCCAGGATTCCTTGGGGGAAGCAGGGAAGTTTGGCTGCCACCTTCATTATACACCTTTAGGCGCCAGGCAAAAACATTCCTTTTTAACCAGGCCTTTGGTTGACTTGGTTGACATTCCATACCCTTTTAAAAATATGACTCTTTGCAAGGGGTATTATTGGTTTTTGCTTTTATTTTAATTTTATATACTGTGATGTTTTTATGTGAACTGCCCTGAGACCTCTGGGTATAGGGTGGTATATTATTATTATTATTATTATTATTATTATTATTATTATTATTAAGTGTTAGAGCAGCAGTGGGGAGTTCCAGAAACATTGAGGCCCCTGCTAAAACAGAGCCTTCTTCCTCCATTTTAACCATGTTTTGTTGCCTGTCAGGTACTTTTAAATCCCCAGTCGTCGTCGTGATGTCCAGGGATTGACAGATGGGTGTTGAATGTGGCCCTTCTCGGTGGTGGCGCCCGCCCTGTGGAACGCCCTCCCATCAGATGTTAAAGAAATAAACAACCACCTGACATTTCATAGAATCATAGAGTTGGACTAGACCACAAGGGCCATCGAGTCCAACCCCCTGCCAAGCAGGAAACACCATCAGAGCACTCCTGACATATGGTTGTCAAGCCTCTGCTTAAAGACCTCCAAAGAAGGAGACTCCACCACACTCCTTGGCAGCAAATTCCACTGTCAAACAGCTCTTACTGTCAGGAAGTTCTTCCTAATGTTTAGGTGGAATCTTCTTTCTTGTAGTTTGGATCCATTGCTCCGTGTCCGCTTCTCTGGAGCAGCAGAAAACAACCTTTCTCCCTCCTCTATGTGACATCCTTTTATATATTTGAACATGGCTATCATATCACCCCTTAACCTCCTCTTCTCCAGGCTAAACATGCCCAGCTCCCTTAGCCGTTCCTCATAAGGCATCGTTTCCATTTAAAAGACATCTGAAGGCAGCCCTGTTTAGGGAAGTTTTTCATGGCTGATGTTTTATCGTGTTTTTAATTTTCTGTTGGAAGCCACCCAGAGTGGGTGTGGAGACCGGCCAGATGGGCCGGGTATGAGTAATAAATTATTATTATTATTATTATTATTATTATTATTATTATTATCATCATCATCATCATCATCATCATCATCATCATCATCATCATCCCTGAGGTGTAACTGAACCAAGGGTGTGGATGTGATAAGAATTCTGCGGTCATTTAGCCCAGTATCCTGTTTCCAACCGTGGTCAGCCGGAAGCCACAAAGTCTGGCAAGGGGTCAGGTGCTCTTTTACCTGGCCAACCAGTTTAGGGCAGAACGGGTTGGTGATGTCGTACTGGCGGAGATCGCCATGCAGCCAGTTGCTCAAGTAGAGGAACCGGTCGTCCATCGAAATGAGGATGTCGGTGACGAAACCTGAAGCAGAAGAGGGCAGGTCAGCATTCGCTTTCTTTTATTCCGTAATAATAATAATAATAATTTTTTATTTATATTCCGCCCTCCCCAGCCGAAGCCGGGCTCAGAGCGGCTAACAAGAGTAAAAAAAACATATACATAAAATCACAATCAATTCATTGAAATACGTTCTAAAATCAATTCATTCTCAAATCAATTCAGAATCAAATTAATGGCAACCGTTGGGCTAGAGTTCTATGAGGATTACAGAAGGAGGGGGTCAGACTGTGCCTTGGCCAAAGGCCTGGTGGAACATTTCTGTCTTGCAGGAAAGATGTCAAGTCCCACAGAGGGATGTCCCACCAGATCGGGGCCACAGCTGAAAAGGCCCTGGCTCTGGTCAAGGCCAGTCTAGTTTCCCTGTGGCCTAGGACCTCAAAGATGTTTTTATTTGAAGACCGCAAGGTCCTCCGTGGGACATACCAGGAGAGGCGGTCCCGTAGGTACGAGGGTCCTAGGGCTTTAAATGTTAAAACCACTCCCTAGGTTATTTTCTGCCACACAGATTCAAAGACCACACCATTCGTTGCAAGCACTTTTGATGCCACTTTAAGCAGTAATGACTTCCTCTAGCCCCCAAAGGATTCTGGGAACTATAGCTTGTTGAGGGTGCTGAGAGTCGCCCGGAAGCTCCCAACTCAGAACTACAATTCCAGGCTGCCTTCAAGGGCCGCCCTGCGTGGAGCACATTGCAGTAGTCTAATCTAAGGGGTTCACAAAGCACAGAACGACAGCGACCGGTTCTCTGTCTTCTAGGAAGTGGTGCTAGCTAGCTGCCCTATCACCCAAATCCGACACTAGGTTTTACTCTGGGAACAGTGACTGCTGGATTCAGTTGAAACGAACGTGGAAAGTGAAATATTCTCAGAGTCGAGAGTGGATTTCACGCTCTTTATTCAGCTCATAGCGGTGAGGAGGAATGGAAGTTCCCTCAGAATGCCTGTTTTATATACATTATTTACACAATGGGCCCCACATGATTGGCTAATTTCGGGATTCACCTGTAGGCCAATCAGGTTGCAGATTCACTTCCTCCTGGAGCTGGATTGGGTATCTCCTGTGGACCAATCAGACTGCTGCATTCTGGATCCTATTGTTCTACGACCAATCAGACTGTTGCATTCTGAATCCTATTGTTCTAGGACCAATCAGACTGCTGCATTCTGGATCCTATTGTTCTAGGACCAATCAGACTGCTGCATTCTGGATCCTATTTTTCTAGGACCAATCAGACTGCTGCATTCTGGATCCTATTGTTCTAGGACCAATCAGACTGCTGCATTTTGGATCCTATTGTTCTAGGACCAATCAGACTGCTGCATTTTGGATCCTATTCAACTCAGTACATAACAGAAAGCGAGCCACTGGCCGCCCATTTCTTGTTCTTTACTCACCTGGCATTTCAGGAAAGTACCACCCGGACACCTTCTTGTTTGGAATCTGGATCACCTTTTCGGCCGCCCAGTCCCCGTCCTGCACCAGAAAAGCATGTTGAGAAGGGGGATCCGCTGCGCCAAGACGCTGCAGCGTGGAGGGATCTCTGCTGAAGGGCCCAGACAGACCACTGCATTCCTCCCCAACCCCTGGCTTTCGATTTCCTCCGCTCAGCCTTCAGTCAGCATTCCTCGAACAATCTGCACACACAGCTCTGTTTTGGGGTTCCCTTCCTGGGATTCACCACGAAGGAAGGTCTGTGCTCCTACAAACCTTGGGTCTTCCTCTGAAACTGTTCCATCACAGGCAGTTCCATTTTTATCCCTCTTGTGCAAGGGACAGAATCCAAGAATCTTAAGAGCTGGAAGGGATCCACGGGTCATCTAGTCCAACCCCCTGACAGATGGCCACCCAACCTCTGCTTAAAAATCTCCAAGGAAGGTATATCTGAAGGTATATCCAGTATACCTGAAGGAGCGTCTCCACCCCCATTGTTCAGCCCAGACACTGAGGTCCAGCGCCAAGGGCCTTCTGGCGGTTCCCTCCCTGCGACAAGCCAAGTTACAGGGAACCAGGCAGAGGGCCTTCTCGGTGGTGGCGCCTCCCCTTTGGAACTCCCTCCCACCAGATGTCAAAGAGAAAAATAACTACCAGACTTTTAGAAGACACCTGAAGGCAGCCCTGTTTAGGGAAGCTTTTAATGTTTGATGCATTACTGTATTTTAATATTTTGTTGGAAGCCGCCCAGAGTGGCTGGGGAAGCCCAGCCAGATGGGCAATAAATTATTATTATTATTATTATTATTATTATTATTATTATTATGAAAGAGAGCCCACAACATCCCGAGGGAGACTGTTCCACTGTCGAACAGCTCTCACGGCCTGAAAGTTTTTCCATATTTTTAGTTGGAATCTCCTTTCTCGTAACTTTAGTCCAGAGGTCATCAAACTGAAGCCCGTGGGCCGGATACGGCCCACCAGATTCGTTAATCCGACCCACAAACCTTGCGGACTCTGCCGCCCGCTCGGTCAGTCCCCGCGCCACACATGCGCGGGACAGAAGCCTCGCCGCGTGGATACTGACTTCCGCGACGTGGCACGGCTTCTGATTGGCTGCAGGAAGCTCCGGCAGCCAATCAGAAGCAGTGGACACCTCTGGACGCCATCCCTTCCTTCCAGCTGAGGCAGCTGAGCGGGAGGGAAGCACCAACGGCGCAGAGGCCACCTCCGCCGCCCAGGCCAGGCTCTGTGCCCTGCTGAGAAAGAGGACGCCGGCGCTGCTGAAGACGAGGCAGTGTCAGCAGCTGTGGCATGAGTGGCATAGGCGGGGGGGCCTTTTGGGAGGGAGGTGCTTTAGGGAGGCGGTGGGTCCAGAGCAGCGCACGGAAATGCCGTTTACCTTCCCGCTGGAGGGGTACCTAATTATCTACTTGCACTTTGACGTGCTTTCGAACTGCTAGGTTGGCAGGAGCAGGGACCGAGCAATGGGAGCTCACCCCGTGGCGGGATTCAAACCGCCGACCTTCTGATCGGCAAGCCCAAGAGGCTCAGTGGTTTAGACCACAGCACCACCCCAGGTGATAAGTAAACAGTGATATTTTATTGCTCCTGTCTCATTTTCTGGCCCTGGGAATCTCTGTAGTTTGTCCTTCGTTTTTGCCTAGCAACCAGGAAGCATCCTTCCTATGGCGGGTTCGCCTGAGATCAGGTGCTCCCTAGAAGTTAATTTCTCCAAGTACTGCTACAAGAGAAGTGTGGGTAGAGGATGCAGAATCCCTTCCCCAAATGGTATGCCTGGATTTTATGCAAATCTGCGTCCTTATTCCCAAGTGAGTCGGAGGGCCCAATCCACCAACTGTTTAAAAAGGTAAAGGTAAAGGGACCCCTGACCGTTAGGTCCAGTCGTGGCTGACTCTGGGGTTGCGGCGCTCACCTCGCTTTACTGGCCGAGGGAGCCGGCGTACAGCTTCCGGGTCATGTAGCCAGAATGACTAAGCCGCTTCTGGCGAACCAGAGCAGCGCACGGAAACGCCGTTTACCTTCCCGCCGGAGCGGTACCTATTTATCTACTTGCACTCTGACGTGCTTTCGAACTGCTAGGTGGGCAGGAGCAGGGACCGAGCAACGGGAGCTCACCCCGTCGCGGGGATTCGAACTGCCGACCTTCTGATCAGCAAGCCCGAGGCTCTGTGGTTTAACCCACAGCACCACCCGCGTCCCTGTACCAGCTGCTTACTGGGCCCCCAAACTCCTGTGGGCTCCCCTGCCCCCATTCATTCTAACCTCTGTCTTGAAGAAATGATGGATGGAACTCTGCAATGTGCAGCCCACCATTCCGTGTGCGGCGTCGGGGTTATGTAGGAACCGGATTTCCAGCGGGGCGGAATCCTCTCCAACATCAATCTGCTGGATGAGGCAGTGAGTCGTCCAGTCCCAGACGTTCAGCCGACGCCCGTAGCGCTCTGCGGAGAAGCAAAACAAGGACAACATCAACCACAGAGGGCCCCTGGTCACGATCCTGCAACACCCAAGGAAACAGGCTGCTCGGGGTTTTTTAGCCCTGAGTGTCAGCCAGCAGTAAATCACACTGTGCAAGTTGGAGTTAACTCTCTAGTAGCAAAAACACAATCTGACCCTTGGACCCCTGACTTCGCGACTCCTTGCTTCTTGATCCTCAGACCCCTGACTTCGTGACTCCTTGCTTCCTGACCCTCGGACCCCTGACTTTGTGACTCCCTGCTTCTTGACCCTGGGACCCCTGACTTCATGACTCCTTGCTTCTTGACCCTTGGACCCCTGACTTCGTGACTCCCTGCTTCTTGACCCTCGGACCCTTGACTTTGTGACTCCTTGCTTCTTGACCCTCGGACCCCTGACTTTGTGACTCCTTGCTTCTTGACCCTTGGACCCCTGACTTCGTGACTCCTGGCTTCTGGACTCCCATTCCTGCTCCCACCCCGCCATCTTGCCCCCAGTCCTGATGTCCCCAGCCGGGACTTCGATCGCACGTGAACTGGACCGTGACACACTAGGGCTGGAATAAAGCCCCCTTCTCTGCTTTCTGAATCCACAAACCACTGGGATCTGAAGGCGGCCCTGAAATTGACCGCCTCAACGGCAGGTATTCCCCCTCCCCACACCCCGTCTCAAAAGGATGTACCTTTCTTCAGATCCTCTGGGTTGAAACCGTTCGCAAAGTACTTGGGCACTCCCCACTCGGTGCTGATCATGACATTGTGCCTGGGCTGGTACCAGAAGTCGTAGCCTTGCGGGGGCTCGTCCCCCGGCCGCTCCCAGGTCCCTTTCACTTCCCAGGTCTCCGCGTCAATAAGGATGAATCCGCCTGGAGTCACAACAACAACAACCGTTCTCAGAAAGCGACGTATTTATGGAGAGAAGTGATTTGGGTTGAGGTCATTGCAGTTAGCGGGGGTGCAAATTAATTCAAGCAGGCATAGGGAGGCACACATTTGTGTGTGTGTGAAGACTGGGGTAGGGTGCAAGGATGTGAATAGATGCTAGGAGACAATATATTTATTTGATATTAATAAATATGATAATGATATATTTATACCACGTCCATCTGGCTGGGTTTCCGCAGCCACTCTGGGCAGCTCCCAACAGAATATTAAAAACACGATAAAACATCAAACATTGAAAACTTCCCTGAACAGGGCTGTCTTCAGATGTTTTCTAAAAGTCAGGTAGTTGTTTATTTCCTTGACATCTGATGGGAGGGCGTTCCACAGGGTGGGCGCCACCACCGAGAAGGCCCTCTGCCTGGTTCCCTGTAACCTCACTTCTCGCAGTGAGAGAACTGCCAGAAGGCCCTCGGAGCTGGACCTCAGTGTCCGGGCTGGATGATGGGGGTGGAGATGCTCCTTCAGGTATACTGGACTGAGGCTGTTTAGGACTTTAAAGGTCAGCACCAACTCTTTGAATTGTGCTCGGAAACGTACTGGGAGCCAATGAAGATCTTTCAGGACGGGGTTTTATGGTCTCGGCAGCCGCTCCCAGTCCCCAGTCTAGCTATTATTATCCTTCCTCCCTCATGTCTGTTGTTCAGCGGAGTGCATCCCTTTGCAGGTTAAAAGGGGAGCTTATATAGGCTGGTTTTAGGCTTTTAGTTTAAATACAGTGGTACCTCGGGTTACAGACGCTTCAGGTTACAGACTCCGCTAACCCAGAAATATTACCTCAGGCTAAGAACTTTGGTTCAAGATGAGAACAGAAATCGTGCGACGGTGGCAGCAGGAGGCCCCATTAGCTAAAGTGGTGCTTCAGGTTAAGAACGGACCTCCGGAACGAATTAAGTTCTTAACCGGAGGTACCACTCTAATCCAGGATGTACTGTGGGTATCCCACACTGGGGAGTCTGTGGCCCTCCAGATACGGCTAGATTTCAACTCCCATCATCCTTCCTGATCATTGGCAATGGTGGCTGGGGGGCGATGGGAGTTAACATCAGGAAAGACGTGCTGGGTCAAGCCAAAGGGATCCCACTGGTCCAGTGCTGAGAATCACAGGTGGAGAGAGGGTTCTCGTGTTCAGCTCCTACTTTTGGGTTTTCCACTGGGGTATCTCTGGGAGGGCTGCATTAAGACTGTCAGAGGCCCCAAACGCTTAAAGACTTTGGTGCCTCCATATATATCTCTAATTCAAAATATAAACCATAAAATAAAAAATTAACATTATATGTGTGTGTATGTATTTTTTCTCTGATTGTGGGAGGTTTTTTTGTGGAACCTGGTTCACAATACGGTCCATAGTAAATCCGGTAATGGAAAATTTCTGTGGTTCTCCCCTCGATGCCCTTATTTCGTTGAATGGTTAATCCAGCCCTGGCCACTGTGAGAAGAGAATGCTAGACTGGATGAGCCCCGCTTTGGCCTGATCCAGCGGCAGGGCTATCCTCATGTTTCTATACTATTCTTACAGGGTCTCTGGGTGCAGAATGCAGTGCTGGCGAGGCCCCAGCCACTCGCGATCTAAATATTTGCCCGGAGGCATCTATAAACATATACAGGCGTACCTTGGTTCTCAAACACCTTGATACCTGGACGTTTTGGCTCCTGAACGCCGCAAACCCGGAAGTGAGTGTTTCGGTTTGCAAACGTTTTGTGGAAACTGAACGTCTGAAGCGGCTTTGAGCCAATCGGAAAGCTGTGTCTTGGTTTTCGAACGGTTTCGGGAGTCGAAGGGACTTCCAGAACGGATTAAGTTTGACAGCCAAGGTACGACTGTAGTAGCACATGCCAACTGCATATACATTTTGCACCACGGGTCTCTGCCTCCCACACCCTTTAAGACATAAGTGACACACAAACACAGCTGGCCATACCTTTCCCGTTGCCAAGCGTGTCGGCCAAAGCGCTGATCATCACCTCTCCGCTGCCCAGGCAGTGGGAGGTGTGTGGGAAAGTCAAGTTGCACTTCTCAAAGACTTCCCTGGGCTCAATAACCTGCGAGGAGAGTCAGGGAGAGAATTAAGTTTCTGGTGTGATTATTCTTCCTGTTCTTTACACAAAAGCTCTTTTTTCTTAAAATCCAGGATTCAGCACACCCACAGATCAAACTCCAAAGGTTGTCACCGGTGAGGGCTGTGATGTGATTAAAATGATCTTTCTCAGTGGATCATGTGAGTTTTGCTGAACTCACCAGTTCTTAATTGATCCATGTTCTATAAAGATTTGTTTTTTCTCAGAGGAACTTATTCTTTTGTTGGCTCTTTTCTCCTTATAAAACCCGTCTCGTTTCTCTTCTAGATCTTTCATCTTTCATCTTTCGCTACTTTAGCTGCGTGGACACCACACATTTATATCACATGACTTCCCCCCAAAGAACCCTGGGGACTGTAGTTTGTTATGGATGCTGGGAATTATAGCATCATGAGCGGTAATCAACAGTTCCCAGGATTCTTAAAGGAAGTCACTTGGCTTTAGATATATGCTGAGTTTCTCTGTTATTTCAATTCTTGAGGTTGCATGCTTGACCTATTCAGAGTAGACCTATTGAAATTACAAGACAACTAATTTAAGTACATGAATTTCTGATTAGAATTTAGATACAGACTTTGTACTCAATTTACTTCCCATTTGCATACACACACACACACACACATATATATATATATATATATATATATATGTATATGTATGTATGTATATGTATATGTATATGTATATGTATAAAAACTGCAATATAAAGTCTTGTTTCTAATACATTCATTTGAATTTTAAGGCATCGTTAAGAGGTGTGGTAACTCAAATCTGTTCTTTTTTGACACGTTCGTCCACTTTCTGTCTGTCCTCTGTTTTCCTGGTCTATATCACTAGGAAAACCGTATCAATTTACCCCTTCCTGGGCATGTTTACTTTTAATGCCCAATCCATTTCTGCTCTCACGATCTCGACTGCATCCTCTGAAAACATTTTAAACATCCCCCGCCAAAGCCAACACTTTTAATGAGAGGGGACCCACCTCTGCTGATCGTGGCTCAATATCATCTACTCTAATTACAGTTTCCGGGCGTAATTGCTTTTGTATGAATTATGAATCATTCTCCTCCTACTACTACTTGGATGAAGCCTATTCTTGGCTTCTGCAACGCAACAAACTTTTTTTACTCCAGCCATTAATGGAGCGAGCCAAAGGTGTTTTTCTGGGTCAGCAAAATATTACCTATGCGCCTCCCCTAATTTGTACTCTTCTCTTCATCAGAAACCAAATCACAAGGGTGGCTTCTTTCCCCTCATTTGGTCTCATTAAAAGCGATCCTGTCTTCAGTGCTCATTTCCATTTTATTCATTGGTTAGCCTCTTTGACGTGGGGCGTAATAACTGGATCGTTCAGGGGTGGGAACCTCAGGAGAATAATGCGGCCCTCTATTTGTGTGGGATGTGATATATAAGTAGCAGTCAAGTACAACATTCCTTGTTTTCCTAGAGTGGACATGCAAAGGCGATGTTTGTTCCAGCCGGTTGAAAAGTTCCTGTTTCCTCCTGGGCTGGAGCATCCTTCCATTTGCATGTGACCAGAGGTGGGCGTGACCTTACCTGTACAGGTAACAAAAGCACATGGGCACACAGCCCCCCTCCCTTCTTCTCCATCTTCCTTTTGTCCTGTGAACTGCAGTGACTGCCAGTTTGCAGTCACTGGGATTAACCCCGTATATGGGGTAGATCCATATAATACTACTACAGTGGTGCCTCGCAAGACGAAATTAATCCGTTCCGTGAGTCTCTTCGTCTTGCGGTTTCTTCGTCTTGCGAAGCACGGCTATTAGCGGCTTAGCGGCTATTAAAGGCTTAGCGGCTTAGCGGCTATTAACGGCTTAGCGGCTTTAAGAAAAAGGAAACAAACCCGCAAGAACTCGCAAGACGTTTCGTCTTGCGAAGCAAGCCCATAGGGAAATTCGTCTTGCGAAGCACCTCAAAAAACAAAAAACCCTTTCATCTAGCGGGTTTTTCATCTTGCGAGGCATTCGTCTTGCGGGGCACCACTGTACTACTACTAATAATAATTTATTATTTATACCCCTCCCATCTGGCTGAGTCTCCCCAGCCACTCTGGGCAGCTCCTAATCAAATGTTAAAAACAATACAGCATTAAATATTAAAAACTTCCCTGAGCAGGGCTGCCTTCAAATGTCTTTTAAAGATAGGATAACTGCTTATTTCCTTCACATCTGAAGGGAGGGTGTTCCACAGGGCGGGTGCCACTACCAAGAAGGCCCTCTGCCTGGTTCCCTGTAACCTACTTCTCACAATGAGGGAACCGCCAGAAGGCCCTCGGAGCTGGACCTTAGTGTCCGGGCTGAACGATGGGGGTGGAGATGCTCCTTCAGGTATACAGGACTGAGGCCGTTTAGGGCTTTAAAGGTCAGCACCAACACTTTGAATTGTGCTCGGAAACGTACTGGGAACCAATGCAGATCTCTCAGGACCGGTGTTATGGGGTCCCGGTTTATGTGGATGTCCGAGAGGGGCTTTTGCTGCCCTCTTTGACGTCTGCTAAGAACATCCACCCCACCCCCCCGACACGCAGGATGTTGACCTGTGTCTTCACCTGGTTTTAAGCTTAGCATTGAATGTAATTTTTAAAAAGAAAATGTTTTAAATCAGTGGTTCTCGAAGGGCGTGCCACGCTGGTGCGGCAGGAGAGGATGGTAGATGTGGCAGGAATATTCAAGGGCAATCAGTGTTACATTTTGGGAATGATTCAAATGTTCTTAGGTGGCTGCTGTGCTGTTTTATACTTTCTCAAAGTTCGATGAACACACACAGTAGTTTTGTTCTTCTACGTTATAAATCAAGCACGGCCAAGTTGTTTCTTTTCATTTTCCAATGTATTCCTTATCAATAAAAAATCTGTTGTGCTGCCAGCGAATTTCTGAAAGTGTGGCCTAGAGAGAAAGGTTTGAGAACCACTGTTTTAAATATTTGTTTTTAACTGTTTTTCATTGGTGTTTTTTTCTGAAGGGTCCTGAAGACATCATTCATTTATTTCATAATATTTAGGTAAAAAGAATAAAAAAGAATAAAACTGCGGTAAAACCACGAGAGGTGGTTTTTTTTAATTCTTTTTACAATCAAGATGCACCTAAATATTATGAAATAAATGAATGATATCTTCAGGACCCTTCCGCTACATCCACCCTCCCCACACTCTACCCAAGCCTAGCTCAGTCCTGCTCCTTTGAGAGAAGGAAGACGTACTTTGAACATCCTGGGGGCCCGCAGGTCCGTCCCCGTATCCACTATGTAAATGCGGGAAGACCCCAGGCTGGGCAGGACCAGGCGGTTACGCTTCTTGCTGGTGTCTCCGAAGCAGCTGCTGCAGGCGTTCCACCCTGTGTGATGAAGCTCATCGTCGATATACAGCATGGGAAGGCGATGGATCACCTATTGGGAAGACGGGAGAGTAAGGTAACACTTCTGGGCGAGGTGGGGGGGGGCAGATGTCCACCCCTCTGCCCAAAGCGCTTCCATGTGCGCCTCATTTCCAAAAGTGCAAACTGAATAGGTTTCCCTTGAAATGTGAACTGAATTCATTTTTGTCTTCCATCCTTTGCTCATTGCATAGCTGTGCCCTCGCTGCCGCCTGAGGCAGCTTGCTCACTTTGCCTAACAATCGGGCCGGCCCCTGCCTCTTCTGACAAAGGGCGTATTTTGACACGGGCAACTCTATTCTTTTTATTTTAAAAAACAGAAATGTTATGTACTGAGTTGAATAGGATCCAAAATACAGCAGTCTGATTGGTCCTAGAACAATAGGATCCAGAATGCAGCAGTCTGATTGGTCCTAGAACAATAGGATCCAGAATGCAGCAGTCTGATTGGTCCGCAGGAGCCACCCAATCCAACACCAGGTGGAAGTGAATCTGCAACCTGATTGGCCTACAGGAGAATCCCAGAATCAGCCAATCACGTGGGGCCCATTGTGTAAATAATGTATATAAAGCAGACATTCTGGGGAAACTTCCATTCCTCCTCACTACTATGAGCTGAATAAAGAGCATGAAATCCACTCTCGACTCCGAGTATATTTCAGGAAACGTTTTCCTTTTTCTTTTACGAGAGCCTCAACTAGGCTATGAATACTGAAAGAGAAAATATACACGAGGTGCTTACACAATGAATAATGCGAAGATGCACATTAGCAAATATGGGCTTGTATACGATGGAATTAATGGGCCCAAATTAGTTGCTGCGGGGCTAGTGACATTTCCCAGACAAGTGATGCCAGCGTCATGTGCTTTCATTTAAGGGAGTGCTTATTTGAGGAACCTAAACAAGTTATCACTTAGCACTTCAAGTGGTGATTCCAGCGATATGGAAAAAAGGTCGATTTTGCCCCTGGGGTGCAGTTCATGCAAATGAACTGCAGGTGCACAGCTCTGCCTGATCTGGAAGAAACTGTTCTATTAATTTGACGCATGTTAATTGTTCTCAGGTCTTATTAAGTTGCTTCGTCTTCGCCTTTCCAGCAAAAAGTATCTTGGAGATTGTCAGCCAAGGCCTTCCCGATATTTCTTAACTGGGAGAGGGGGTGGAAATAACACAGGGCACGTACAAAGGGACCCTATAATGCAGGAATATGCAGCCGTCCCATACGGGGATTGGACCTGCAAATTTGGCATTATCAGAACCATGCTTTAACAGACTGAGCCAGCCAGGTTTCGGTATGGCTGTTCAAAAAGCGAACGAACCAAGGAGGTAAGGAGAGCCCTGCTAGATTAGGTTGGGATCAGGAGAGGCAATATAAAGCTCCTTTTCAGACAGCGCATAGTTAAACTCCGGAACTCCTTCCCACAAGACAGAAGGGACATGATAAAGGTAAAGGGACCCCTAACCATTAGGTCCAGTCACGGACGACTCTGGGGTTGCGGCGCTCATCTCACTTTACTGGCTGAGGGAACCAGCGTTTGTCCGCAGACAGTATTTCCGGGTCATGTGGCCAGCATGACTAAACCACTTCTGGCAAACCAGAGCAGCGCACGGAAACGCCGTTTACCTTCCCGCCGGAGCGGTACCTATTTATCTACTTGCACTTTGACGTGCTTTCGAACTGCTAGGTGGGCAGGAGCTGGGACCGAGCAATGGGAGCTCACCCTGTTGCGGGGATTCGAACCGCCGACCTTCTGATCGGCAAGTCCTAGGCTCTGTGGTTTAATCCACAGTGCTACCTGCGTCCCAAGGGACATGATAGATGCATATAAAATTAAGCATGGAATGGTGAAAGTGGGTGGAGAATTTTTTTCCTCCTTCTTTCATAGCCCTAGACTTGAACTCATCCAACAAAGCTGAACGCTAGAACATTCAGGACAGAATCTCCGCCGTGCAAAGAAGACCTGCCTTTTGCTGATTCCGCCTCTCAGCTTTTTGGCAGCCAGTTTCTGCAGAGTCCTTTGGTTTCGGGGAATGAGGAGTGTCGAATAATGAACCCGTAAGAGGACTTCTAAGGCAGAGATGCTTCCCTAGAAACTCTGACCATCTATGAGGTTCCCATCGGTGCTCGAAGGCATTCCACGACGCCTTCTGAAGTCTCCTTCCAGCCCCTAGGTTTGAGCTTTCTTCCATCTTCCCCCCCGGGGGTTGTCTTTCCAGACGATTCTAATCAAGGTTACCTGTCACCTCGCTAAGATTCCCAGGCTATAAATCAGCCGGTGGCAGAAAGCGTAATTAACTGCTGCCGGCAATACATAAAAGGAGTCAGAGTCCACGTTTACACGGAACGGAATTGAGTCGCAATGCCTTTCCCGACCCACTTTGGGCCGTGGGTTCTGAATTCAAATCCTGCCTCGCTGAAGTAAGGCTCTCTTCCCTGGCCAGAGATAGTTTGGCTGATAAACAATTTCTTTCCTACATGCTACTTCCCAAAGTGAGAAGTGTGGATATTTTATCAACCATTCTTGGAGGTGAAACTTTTGTGAGGCTACAGTCGCCAAAGACAGGCTTTCGGCTGTGTGGTAAAGATTCCTAAAGCCAGCTTTAGGGCGCCTTCTCCAGCTGCTTCGGACTACAGCTCCCATCAGCCCCACCAACACTAGCTAGGGCTGATGGGAGTTGTAGTCCGAAGCAGCCAGAAGCGGCACCAGGCGAGAGAAGGCGGATCTAATGTGATACCTGGCAATAGCAGGGAGATTCCGGATCCACATCCACCGTAGCAAGGTAATCAGGCTGCTGTGTTCCAGTCCCAGTTAAGATGCAGGGCACGTAGATCAGCTTCTCTCGTGGACCTTGAGGGGGGGAAGTCCATATTTAGGGATCTGTCTTGGGTGAGGAAAGGGACGAGCTCTGAGCCACTCAGCCCCAGCTTAGAGAAATCTTTTGGCAAAGCTTACCTGTATCTAATGCCATCCTAACAGTCTTTCAATAACAGTCTTGTCGCAACGATCCCTGAAGGATAGGCAACAATCTGTCCCAATATTACATACCGAATGTGATTTCTCTAAGGTTACAGTGGATGTTCGGGTTGCGGATGTGATCGCAACCCGCGTCTGCGCATGCATGGGTCGCAATTCAGCGCTTCTGCGCATGCACAAAGCGCGATTTAGCACTTCTGCGCATGCGCAACCGCCGAAACCCGGAAGTAACCCATTCCAGTACTTCCGGGTTTCGGCGGTCTGTAACCTGAAAAATCGCAACCTGAAGCGGCTTTTCCCGGGACAAGATTGTGGCACCCAAATGGCCGCCGCAATCTCATGTGAGAAAATGGGGTGTCCCGTTTTCCCCAGGACACTTGGCGAGTATGACATCACCATCCTGGCTAACAGCCATGGATAGCCTTATCCTCCACAAATTTGTCCAATTCTCTGTTAGTGTGTCATGATCCAATACACGGAAGCTGGAATGCTTACACCAAAGCCTAAAACTGAAAATCCTGCTTGAGGGATCTGGTCGGCCGCTGTGAGAACAGGATACGGAACTGGCCAGATTCCGCAGACTCTCCTTATGTTCTTAATATCTCAGTAGAAGATGAAAAGAGCTGCTTAGTTGTTTTAGGGACAGGAGGTGCAACTTGTGGACCTCCAGATGGCCCTGGGCTCCAACTCAAATGCAGGCGGCACAATTAAAAGATTTTGGCAAGGTCTTGCGTCAAAACCGCTCCACAAAATATTAGACTTTATGTGACAAAGAGGTGCCAGGAAACTGTGGAAGTGAAATCAGAGTGAGGCCTCTTTAAATAGCCGTCGTCGTCGTCTAAGGTCTCCCTGCAAGGAGGAAACCAAAGCTTTACCTCTGTTGCACATTCAAAACACATTCTTTCTCTCAAAGGATTCTGGGCACTGCAGTTTTACCTCACACAAGAGTTATAATTCCCAGCAACGAACTACAGTGTCCAGAATTCCTTGAGGGGGGAGAAGGGGCTTTGGAGGAGCTTTAAAAATATTGTGCGCACCACAGCCTAAGACAAATGCTCAGTCAACAGGCCGCCTAGAAGCATCCTCTGATTCCCAGTGACTCTGCATTTTCTGAATTCAGGCGCCCAGGGAAATTTTAATAAGCTTTGATGAACTGAAAGTAATTTGTTACCTGCCAGCTTGGACAACTTTCCTTTATTGTGCTGAGTGTACACACACTTAAGAGGTGTGGAAGGTTAATATAGAAGACTCGAAAGACTTTGATTGTGGTTATTAATTCTTATTTCACCCTTCATCCGAGGACCTCGGGGCAGCGTAAATGTTCCTGCTACTGCGTTATCAAGGCAGGTGATGCTTGGCTTAATGTGTGTTTAGTGGGGAATTTAATTCAGGCCTCTTTGATGTCAATCCAGCGCTCTAACCGCTACACCGCTTTGGGTGCAGTTTCTTATACATTTCATAAAGGGTATTTGAATGCAGACAACGAAGCAGCATTCATATAACCTGGCCATAATGATGCGGGCGTAGGTAACTACTAGGTTGGACTACCGCGATTCGCTCCATGTGGGGCCACCCATGACGCTGATTTGGAAACTACAGTTAATGCAGAATGTATTGACTTTTGGCTGGAACAGTTCTTCACCGGTGCATTCAGTACTTTTTGTGTGTGAGAAAAACGAGGTGCCGCCACTCATATCTTGATAAAAGTGCTGGGTGCTCCAGCACACAGTGAGTGTATTATTCCAAAACTGAAAGCTTTGCAGTGGCTACTGGTATATTACCGAGCTAAGTTTTGTTAGTGTAAAAAGGTAAAGGGACCCCTGACCATTAGGTCCAGTCGTGGCCGACTCTGGGGTTGCGGCCTTCAGATCAGTGTGGGATTTGCGTATAAGCTAAACAAGCTATAGCTTAGGGCCCAAAATTTTTTCACTTTTAATATACTTCTACGTAATTGTATTTCAGTTCAACAATTACTTTGATAAAATACATATTTTGTTATGTGCAAATGGTTTAGATACCTATTAGGCCCATAAATTACCATATAGCGTATATTCAGCACAAAAAACAGCAACAAGGCTGTCTTCAGATGTCTATGGAAGATTATATCATTACTTATCTCTTTGATATCCGACAGGAGGAGCTCCAAAGGGCAGGTGTGAGATCTTGGAAAAGATATTAAGAGGCCCCACCCAGAGCTATAATTCACAGATTGTTAAGCCACTCTGAGAATTGTACCTCTGCAACAGGGGCCTCTCAACATCTCTCAGCACTCTTAACAAAGTAAAGCTCCCAAGATTCTTTAGGGGAAACCATGACTGCCTAAAGCGGTATCACAGCACTTTAAATAAACAGTGCAAATGTGGCATAAGTTTCTTCACAAACCAAGACTTGTAGTGTGATGCCCCCCACTATTTGGAATGCTGTTCCTACTGAAATCAGACAGGCGCCAACAATCCTGATATTTCGTCACCTGCCGAAAATGTTCCTGTTTCGCCAAGCATTTTCTGACAACGAATGAGATCCTTCTGCCTCTAATATTTTTATGAAGCTTTGATGCTTTAATTGTACACCACTGTTATATAGCTGTAGCTAGAGATTGTTTGTAAATTTTCTTATAATAAAATTAAAAAACCGAGCCCTGCTGGAACAGAGCAGTCCCCACACCTTTCCTCCCACAGCAGCTAACTGGGAAGACCACAAGAAGGGCACAAACGGAACAGCACATCCTCTTTTACACCCTCAACAACTGGTCTTTCAATGTATCCTGCTCCTTTACCTGGAAGTTTTGCCATAATTATTAGCCACTGATAAACCACACCTCCTCTGTGCTTATGCCTAATCCCTTAATCTTCCTCCTGAGCAATCTTGATTTGGGAGCACTGCTAAACCTGATTGTCGTGTGGCTTGAAATAAGGTCTCAATTTTTTCTGGCCGGTGGTGGAATCAATTTGAGACTTACCTCTCATAGCATCCAGAGGGGTTGCATAACCTGGGCCATGACATCCACACTGCTCTGTAGGTTTTGGAAGAGGGAGAAGGAAAGAGTCAGTATAACCACAGCAAAAATATTACAATTATTATTAAAATTAACTTACAGCAATAAAAAGCACATACATTAAAACCAGCATTAAAAAACAGAGAAAGATGTCAAACTTATTCACATTTTTTTAAAAGGCAGGACTGAAACAGACATCCCACCCATTGAAGTTACTTTAAATTATTTACTTCTAATGAGAGACTGACAACTAAGGGATGCAATCATAGGGGCAGTGCTTTTTTTCTGGGAGGACACAGGGGTATGCAAACCCCTAAAAATTTTGTGAATCCAAGTTTGGCCTTATTGAGGGGCAGTATTTCAATGTGAGTAGGAAAATGAGAGTACCCCTAAACATATTCCAGGAGGGGAATAGGGTGTGTATCCCCAGTGCCGGATTTCCGTATAAGCTAAACAAGCTATAGCCTAGGGCCCCACTCTCTTGGGGGACCCCAAAAAATTTAAAGGGAAAAAAACCTGGATGTTTCCAAAATACAGTGGTACCTCGGGTTACATACGCTTCAGGTTACAGACTCCGCTAACCCAGAAATAGTGCTTCAGGTTAAGAACTTTGCTTCAGGATAAGAACAGAAATTGTGCTCCGGCGGCGCGGCAGCAGCAGGAGGCCCCATTAGCTAAAGTGGTGCTTCAGGTTAAGAACAGTTTCGGGTTAAGTACGGATCTCCGGAACGAATTACCGTATTTTTCGCTCTATAAGACGCACCAGACCACAAGACGCACCTAGTTTTTGGAGGAGGAAAACAAGGAAAAAAATATTCTGAATCTCAGAAGCCAGAACAGCAAGAGGGATCTCTGTGCAGTGAAAGCAGCAATCCCTCTTGCCGTTCTGGCTTCTGGGATAGCTGCGCAGCCTGCATTCGCTCCATAAGACGCACACACATTTCCCCTTACTTTTTAGGAGGGGGAAAATGAGTCTTATAGAGCAAAAAATATGGTAAGTACTTAACCCGAGGTACCACTGTATAAGATAAAAAGCAAATAAAATAAAATAAAACCAACATACAGCAACAGTGTTTTGTGTTGTTATGCTCCCATGAAGTAAGTTATGGGCCCCGCACATAGCATATATTCACCCAAAAAACCAGCGACAATTTGTTGTTGACAAAGGACAGCTGGACGTATAAAGGGCCCTGTTACATTCAGTAGCTTAGGGCCGCATCAGACCTCAATCCGGCCCTCCTAACAACTGTCCACAGCACCCTTAAGAAACTACAACTCCCAGGATACTTGGGGGACGGACGGGAAGATGGCATCATAACATTTTAAATGTACGCCGCCCCCAAGAAAACACCCTCCGCCCCTCGATATTCAACCGAAATCTTCCATCCTGAGCCCGCTAGCCCTAATCCTGAAAGCAAGAAGCCTTATGGCTTCTTCTTCTTCCTCATTATCCGGTTTTTGCACCTGCTTGCAGTTTGAGTTGAGCAAGAGTCGAGCTGTACACTCGTATAGCCATTCCCACAACCTCTGTGCGACAGCCCTGGCGCTCTTTTGAAGGGAGGCAGGTGGCAAAGGCAGAGGGGGGAGCGCAATAAAGGACGGACCAGTCAAGGCTGGGGGGCATGAATAAGGGACGGACCACGAGAGGAAGACTTGGTACCCAGTCCCATGCAGATCAAATTGATGGATTTTATGCCTATATGGCTTAAATGAAGTGTCAGAAATCAGGGAGATCAAAAATTTCAATAAGGAATGGGGGAAATTGATAACCTGTCTTAAAAAGCATTGCAAACAGTTAAAACCGTTAGCAGGACATTGGAATATCCCTTGTAGCTTAGCGGTGAATTTTGGACACAGCGGAGATGTAAAAGATTTGGATGGTCATAAAAGATGCAAGAGGAAATGATCAACAGTTGGGGAGGAGGAAAGTCCAAGAGATTCCTTGTTTTTTACTTTATATGTTCTATATAGGTGACTAAAATTTCAATCTGAAAAGCCAAACAAATAAATTTATTTTAAAAAAGAAAACAAGAAAGAGCTCTGGTTTTCCAAGTTCACTTTGATAATACCCAGATAACAGAGAGGTGTTTTGTTTTTTAATGTAATTTTTAGGAGAGATTAAAAGGTAAAATAAAGGTGTGTTTTTTTAAAAAAATATGTACGGTAATTAGGGTTGTGTTCAATACTCCCACCCACCAACCGGGCCAACTTTACAAGTTATATTGTTTGTTTCAGTGCTTTAACAGTGTAAACCACTGTTGCAGAAAGGCAGCATATAAATGCAATTCATAAATCATAATTATTAATGATAAAATAATAATCACAATAAGCTACTCAGACTAAAGCCATTGAAATCCCATTTTTGAGCTATTTTAAAGGATTACTATACATCTGAATTTTCCCGGACATTTTTGCCGATTTCTGCCTGGACACTGCTTCCAACTACAGCACTCCGAGAATGTCAGGGAATATTATGGGTTGGATCCAAGTACGTTATACTGTGCGTAGACCCATTCAAATGAATAGCCCTAAGTTTGTTGGGCCCATTTATTCTTAATGGGTGCACTTGGATCAATGTTAGACACAACCCTCAGAATTTGTAAGGAATGTGGAGATAGTGTGAAGTTGCATGATGTTGTTTATATAGAAATTATGGGATGCGTCCAGCTAAGTTATGCAATCTATCCAGAATAGACGCATTGAAATTGAGGGATCCAAGTCAGTCAGGTCCATTCACTTCAACAGATTTACCCTGAAAAGATCTAACACTGGCTACAACCCTATAATAAAGCTTTTTTTTAAGAAGAATTCTAGAGAATGTTTAGTTTGTCACTGTAATGCACACATAAGGTGTTTGATTCACGATACCACAAATCATGATCAATATCTCCATGTGCTGCCCATTAATTAATGCACTCCAAACTAGTTTTGAGGGTGTGTGGCCTGCTTTACAGACGAGAACCCTATATTTAAAGGTGGCCTATTTGATGGGCTATCTAGTAGGACTGCCGTACGTCCAGATTTTCACAAACACATCCGGGGATTCGGCCCAAAAATGGCATCTGGGCAGATTTTTTGCAAATTGGCAAAATGTCTGGGAAAACCTAGACATATAGTAAGTGGGGGTCATTTAAAAATTCAAAAAAGGCCCCATACCTTTTATTTTATCACAAAAAAAGCTCTATAACTTTCTCTGGATTTTCACTTTGGGGAATATGGCCACCCTATATCTAGTCCAGGTCTGATTTAAAGATGAAGTAAGGTACTGTACAGTAAGAAGGGAGAACAGAAAATGCCTTCATACTGCCCATCCACAAGGTTCCAGCCAATGTTATTCCTGCTGAGAGTAGACCAATAGAAACTAATCCACATGAGTAATTTAGGCCATTTAATCTAGCTAGATTCCATCAGCAATTAGCTCCTGGTAGATGACTGTGCGCCCTTGAATGGAAACTCCCTTGTCCGTGTCAATCATTGTTGTTTATTCTCTTCCAACTCAATATCATTTGCATGGGTGCAGACCTCAAAACTGGTCAGACCACACCTGGAATATTGTGTCTGGTTCTGGGCGCCAGAGTTTAGGAAGCATATTGACAAGCTGGAATGTTTGCAGAGGAGGGTGACCAAGACACGATCAAGGGTGTGCAAGCCAAGCCTTATTGGGAATGGTTGAGGAAACTGAGTATGTTTAGCCTGGAAAAGAGGAGATATGAGAGCCATCTTCAAATATCCGAAGGGCTGTCACATGGAAGATGGAGCAAGATTGTTTTCTCCAGCTCTGGAAAATAGGACTCAAACCCATAGCTTCAAGTTATAAGAAAGGAGATTCTAACTAAACTTCAGGAAGAACTTTCTGGCAGTAAGAGCTGTTCAACAGTGGAATGAACAGCCTCAAGTGGTTGTGAACTCTCCTTCCTTGGAGGTTTTTAAGCAGAAGATGGAGGGCCACCTGTAAGATATGATTCAGCGGTGGCTTCTGACAAAACCCTGTCGCCCCTTCAGCATCCAGACCCTCCAACCAATCTTCTCCCTCTGACGCCTTCTCAGGGTCCCACCACCAATCTCTCAGCTCTGAGCCTTCCTCCTCTGGGGATGTGTGGGTCTCCCTCGAGGGTTCCCCATGCTTTTCATTGTGCAGTCATGATGATTTGTGCTCATGATGGAGTCTGTTGTGACGTGGGGTTTGTGATTTCAGCTCTCTCGACATAATATGCTGGAGACAGTTCTCTAGTAACACTTCTTTATTTAAGCAAACAAGACTGAAGCCTGAGGAGGGGAAAGCTACATTTATAGGGACAGGGGACTAGCTAGAAAGGATACAGGGCTCTATACACAATATTGCTTTCAAAGCTTTCAGGGAAGGCATATGGATTCATTTCCAATCAGAAATTCGTTTCCTTTAAAGTCGCAGTTGTCCTTCTCTCGCAATTTGTAAAGAAGAACGGGAACTTTTTATAAATTACAATGGTACCTCTGGATACGAACAGGATCCGTTCCGGAGCCCCGGTTCGCATCCTGAAGTAAACACAACCCGCGTCTGCACATGCGCGGGTCGCGATTTGCCGCTTCCTGCAAGCGTGTGACTCATTTTGAGCGTCTGCGCGTGTGTTCCGTTACTTCCGGGTCGCCGGGAGCACAACCCGAAAGCGCTCAACCTGAAGCGACTTCAGCCCGAGGTGTGACTGTACTTAAAAAGACGACAAAATGAATTGGACTCCTTGGCAGGTTTTGAATAAACATACACAAATTTAGTGAGGGTTAACTTAATAGATAGATAATACAAGGATGTATACAATTTTACAATATACAGAGAACAACATAAGTTGAGAAATCAGAGAAAGAGCTGAGGGAAGTCTGGGGGGAGGGTTTATTGGAGGGAGAGAGAAAAAGGGCAGTAGCATTGGGGAGGCCATCGCAGGAAAAGAACTAATGGAAGTGGAATTCTGTGTGGACGGTATGGTATCAATCCAGCACCGAGGCACTTTTATTGCATCAATGCCCCTACAGAAAAGCCTCACCAGTCTGGAGAGACCCTGAATGAATGAATGAATGAATGAATGAACTAAAAGAGAATGCTAACTCCAAGTAGGCTTGCTCAGAAGTATAAGACTGAATAAGATAAGTGCTGGAGATGCAAAGAGGTGGACTTGTAAAAGGGTAAAAGGTTTTTGGGAAATGATCCATAATGAATTGAAAAAAATGTTTGAAAGTTCTCTCCCCCCCCCCAAAAAAAAAACCACACACACACACACACACACAGTCCTTTCTGTTGGGGATAATTCAGACTGAAATTCCCAGTTATCAAAAAAGTTTATTTATATATGCTACTACTGTGGCCTGTATGTTGTTAGCCCCAAATGGAAAATGAGTGAGGTCCGAGCTAAAGAAGAATGGCAACTGAAGCAGACGGAATATGCGCAGCTTGCAGACTTAACATATAGAATAAGAGAACAAGAAGAACATATGTTTAGAGAAGGTTGGAAAACGTTTATTGAATATAATGGAGGGTTGCATACACCTGAAAACGCTGTGAGCATTAAGATAAATTCAACATTGTAAATAATTTTGATGGATGTGATAATGGAATACTGAAGGGTTTAGTTTTTGTAAAATACGCAGGCATTTATGATACGCAAAATGAACCATTGTAAAGGGAAGAAGGGAAGTCATTTATATTTTAAGGATGTTAAAATGAGTATTTTAAATTGTAAAACAGAAAATATAATAAAAATTATATATATAATAAAAGGGAATGCTAATTATTGCTCCAGCCGGCCAAAGACAGAGAGGGTCATTTCTTACCTCCTTTGTCGGGCTCCTCTTGTTCCGGGACAACTCCTCCTTTTGTCTGATACATCCTCTGGCAGCCCGGGCTTGTGCGTCTGACGGCAGTACGAAGATGCTCAAGATCTGCTTATACCCAGAGGGATCCTCTAAATATATAAGTCTGCACACACACCCAAGAGGATACCAAAACAGTGGGTGAGGAAGGCGTGGTTTTGTAAAGGAACTCATTAAGGGAAAAGCTGACTCCCAATAAAGCTTTTTTCCTGGCCAACCAACCCCATCCACCTGGAGCCAGGTGATCACACGCCCTTGGGAGATCTCCAACCTCAGGAGGAGACAGTCGCAGAAGATTCGGATTCCGGTTGGTCCAGTTCCTCTTCTCACACGGGCTTTGATGAAAGCACACGTTGGGATGGCATGATCTCTAACGGTGCCTGCTTATCTGAAGCCCTCGTTTCTCTCTCTTTAGTCAATGTGGGGGCCTTTAAAAAAGGTAAAGGGACGCGGGTGGTGCTGTGGGTTAAACCACAGAGCCTAGGACTTGCCGATCATAAGGTCGGCGGTTCGAATCCCCGCGACAGAGTGAGCTCCCGTTGCTCGGTCCCTGCTCCTGCCAACCTAGCAGTTTGAAAGCACATCAAAGTGCAAGTAGATAAATAGGTACCGCTCCGGCGGGAAGGTAAATGGCATTTCCGTGCGCTGCTCTGGTTCGCCAGAAGCGGCTTAGTCATGCTGGCCACATGACCCCGAAGCTGTACGCCGGCTCCCTCGGCCAATAAAGCAAGATGAGCACCGCAACCCCAGAGTCGGTCACAACTGGAC